AAGAGGAAAAGGAGAGAGTGAAAGGAACTGACATTTATTGAGCACCTACTATACGGATGAGGCTGAGCAAGAAAGAGGATAAAATACCATAAAATGATAGGTTGGGGAGAGACCACTGCAGATGACAGTCTGCTATATCCCTCATCTTCATCATCTTCAATAACCACACACAGGACAGCCATGTGCCAGGCCCTGGGGCTGGGATAGCAAGGACTAGTTCTTGCCATCGAGGGGTCAGTCTACTTAGAGAGGCGAGACCCAAAGAAACAACAAGGAAGCCACAATAGCACATGCTCTGTTGAGTGAGTGGATGCCAACTAGTAAGTGTGTCAGGGACCGAGGGAGGGATGGCAATGCCCTGGGTTGGCTGACGTCCCCAGGGAGAAATTGGGCCTTGATCCCCAACTTGAATACCGGATGGCACTTGAGTGGAGAGGAGGGACAGACAAATCGGTATGGACAAGGCTCAGCAAAAAGAACACAGGTGGTATATTCAAGGGATCGTGATCAGTAGCCTATTCTCCTTCTTCTATCACTTTGTATTTTGGGGCCCCTTCACATACATCACCTCAGAAAATGACTCTGTTGTCCTTCACAAGCCCAGCTAAGCCTGGAACAGATGACCTTCAGGAAGTTCAACAGAATTAGAAGAACTCCTACTATGTGTAAATCATTAAGTATTGCAGAGTATGTGGAAAAGTGTAAAATATAGTCCCTGCCCTCAAGGACAGAAAGGATTTTTCCTTCTGTCAAATGGCCAGTGAAGGAGATTTCGGGATGACTCTGCAGCAGGGAAGTTCTATGTCTGAAAAAAGGCAGCGGGCTCTGGGCAGCATGGACAAGTCTAAGGAAAACTGGATGTGCCACCTTTCAAGATGCTCCATTTGAGGGTGGTCCAAAAGGTATTCCAGTGACTGCAGTTTTCTTCTCAGAATTGGTTACCAGACTCCGTCAGTCTCATGTCGTTCACATTCTTCCCAGTATGTTCCTTCACAAGCACAGAAGCTTGTCTGCAGTCAAACACCAGTTCAGAATCAGAAGCCAAAAGAACCTGCAGATGTACCTATAACTCATCCATTGTCGGGCCACTGAATGACACCCCAATCAATGTGCGGTCTCAGACTCTGCAATTAATCCTGGAAAGCAAGAGGCACCAGGACAAGAACAAAAGAACCAAAATAAGGTAACGCACGTGGGTAACTTCTAAATTGGTCAAGCCTGGGCAAAGGGAAGTCTGGAAATCTTTACTTGGCCTGAGAGAAACAAAGCAACCTCATCTTGGCCCCTAAGCGCCAGTCAGAGCTGAGTGGGAGAAAGCATAGCTGAGCATCACTCAAAACAAATTGAAATACAAACTTATCTTGGGTATCCTTAGTCTGATGATGTGGCTGCTGCCATCATGGAGAGCAGTCTATGGAGAAATTCAGGAACTTTCCAAGTTGCATGGCGGAGTTGCTACTTACATGACAAAATTGGCAGATGCCTGTCAGTCACTTCACAGACAGCGAGTTGAAGGAATATTGAAGCAGAGAACTAGCTACCTGGGTCAGCCAGAGGGCATAAGACTGAAGATTCCGGGTAGTCAGCACTGATTGTGGCATATTTCACCTCCTGCCTCCTCAGATGACTGAAGGCCAAATACAAGGCGAATAGGAAATCTCTGGAGCCTTGAGGTTCTAGGCTCTGAATTTTCAGTTGGAAAATCTCTTTTCAAGGCAAAAACTACCACAGGATGTTCGGAAGTATTTTGAAGAATGAATTCACATGGCCTAACGCTGTAACAGAGGAAGCTGCAGATCTCCTTTCAAGACAGTTGAAGTAAAATCCCTGCTGCAGACTAATTCTAGAGGAAGGGACCACACATCCTGGATCACAGCAGTTTCTTCAAAACTACCAAGTAACCCAAAAGAAAGAAAGCAAAAAAACAGCCAGCACACAAACTTGAGACTCTTTATTTAAAGAAATATCTCTGAGCCCGGCTACTGTGTAACCAAGCAGGAAAATGCTACTGAAACTTGACAGTTTTGACTGATGGCCTTCAGTCTAGGATGTTAACAAAAATGGTTGTCATTGTTTTTGTTTTTTAACCCAGCAGTCTGCACCTCCATCTTCGTGTTTAATTCAGAAAACTCCATTTTATGAAACATCAGGCTCTGAAGTGAAGAAGTGAGCACAACTCTCATTGCATTAATACTCCCAAGGCGAGGGTAGGAGCTGCCCAGATAAACACAGAAAAGTGTCCCAAAAAAAGACACTATATAAGGAATCTGGTTGTTGAGAAAATGGACGATTTGTTTTTTAAAGAACCGCAGAATAACCTTCCAACCAGTTGAATGATGTTTTAAACATATGGGTTGCTAAAGCTGTCAGAAGAAATATTTGGATCTAAGAGAATCTGGCAAAGCTATCTGAAGGAACACCAATTTTTATCTATTCTAAATGTTAAGATATATTTTGGAATGTTAATTTATAGATATCTGTATATAAGGGAAAAGGTGTCTGGTGAGCAAACAGTTGGCCAAGGGAAAACAGATGAGCTGACAGGCAGGTTGTGGGTATTCTGTGTATACCCATAATAAAATATCTTACTCCCTCCGCAGCACACAGACCTTCCTAGGACAGATGTGTTGCCAAGTTACTACAAGAACGTTTCAAACTCCCCAAGTCACACTGTCTCAAGGTAACTCTGGAGATACAGCCCTTTAGTTCTTCCCCAAAGAAGGTTTAAATATTTTCAGGGTCTCTCCTTTATCTATTTTTAACCCAGTTAAGGGTATTTTTGAGCATTCACTGGTTTCCCAAGACAATGCAATGAAATAGCCATATCCCTAGGTCAGCAACGGTTCTGAAGAAAGCATCACTTATTACAGCACCAGACCGGATGAGTGAATCAAGAACTTTGGGCTATATTTCCAACTCTTTCTCTGGCCTAGTGAGTACTGTTTCTTTCTTTGCCTCATTATCTTTTCTTCATTCAAAAAATATTTACTCGGTACCTACTATGTGCCAGACTCAATTCTAGGTGCTGTGTCTACAGGACGAAACAAGAGAGATCAAGTTTCTCTCACAAGCCATACATTCTAACTAGGAGGAAAAAACAAATAACTTCAGATAGAGACGAGTGCTCTATCTGAAAGAAAATAAACAGGGTAATAGAATTCAGTGATAGGGGCAGGATAGACGGGAGGGGAAGCAAAGCCCTGCTTTAGACAGGGGAGGGCTCCAGGAGGCGGTGACAGCTCAGTGGAGATCTGAATGATAATCCAAAGATCTGAGGGAAAGGCTCTCCAGGCAAAGGGAACAAATACAAGGCCCTGAGGTAGTAAAGAGACAAACGAACTGAAGGAAGGCCTGTGTGGCCAAAAATGAAAGAAAGGAAGAGAATGGATAAAGACAGGCAGGAGAGGTGATAGGGGCTGGAGAACCTAGGGCACTGCATGGTATGGGAAAGAGTTGAAATTTCAATCAAAGTGAGATGAGAAACCATTGAGGGTTTTAAGCAGGAGCTAAGCCATCTCGACCATGGGGCAGACTTAATGAGGACCAAATGTATGAAGGATACCACACAGAGAGTGTTGATCAGGTTTTCTCTAGAAAGGGGCCTCAGGGACTAGGGTGAGACATGAGGCACATCTTCAGGTCATCTTGAGGCCAAACATTAATGAGCTGACTGATCCTTACCACCTCCTCTAGCCCAATCCCCTAGTACTGGAATCCCCTGCACAGTATCATGGACTTACTACATCTACACTTGGACAGTTCCAGAGATGGAACTCATGCCCCTCTGACAGCTACATTCAAGTTCTTCCTTATACTGAGCCAAAATCTGATTCCCTGTGACTTTTACTCATCTGCCTCCATATGGCCTTCCGGGCTTTACCAACAGCTGTTATACCCCAAGAATTCCCTCTCAGGCAGGTCAGTACCAGCTTTCTTCAGTTACTCATCTAACTTTTTATTACAGAAAATTTCAAAAGTTCACAAAAGCAGAGAGAATAGTATAACAACAAATCTCCATTTACCCATGACTAGCTTCAACAACAATAATCTCATGACCACTTTTGTTTCCATCTGACATTTTGATTTCCTTCACCAACTTGGTCATTACATTTGTCTTATAGGTGTGGTCTGGCCAGCTCAGAGTACTAGCAGCTCACTCATTTGAGACATCCCATTGCTACTAATATAGCCTAACAGTCCTACTACATTTGTGGTAGCCATAATGTTGCTTCACAACTGACTCAAACTCTCCCACCAGAACTTGTGCAACAGGGTTTTTGGATGCAAGTGAGGGAATTTATGCTTCTTCCCAATGATTTTCATTTTATCAGATTCAGCCCATTCCTTCAGGCTATCATGATCTTTTTGGATCTTGATTCTTCAATATTTATTTACCACGCCTCTCAGCTTTTGTGACACCTCTAAAATTTTGAAAAGTAATGAAAGCCTTCTCTACCCTGAGTTTAAAAATAGAAAGAATATGGATGGGAATGCATTAGAAAAAGAGTTTAGAGCTAGGAAGGATCAGAGAAAGCCTTTAATTAAACTTCTTAGTCTATAAATGAGGGAACTAAGGCCCAGAGAGTCTGTGTCTGGTTCAAAGCCACCCATTAGGTAAAAGGCAGGTCAGGCTAGAGCCGAGGCCTCATGCTCACTGCTCTCTCCACCACCTCCTACCTCTCTAAGTCCTTAGGAGGAGGTATTTGATGAGAGAAAATGCAGGTTATCACCAGCCAGCCTAGTGTCTGTGTGCTACTGCAAACTGATTTCTAGTCAACTACTAACAATTATCCACCCATTTGGTAAAGAATTATCAGGTATTGCTCTCTGCCAGGCCCCACTGCCCTCAATTACTTTCCAAGTTTCTCTCACCCTCAGAGATTAGGTTGGAAACAATTTTTCTCTGCTCTTACTTAATCCCTGAAGTATACAGGACTACATAACTGAATTAGAGTTGGGAACGTCAAAAACATTCATAAATAATAAATGATTCACATATATTAGAAATGAGAGATAGTTTGTTATTCAAAAAGCCACAAAACATCTCATTTAGAGGAGACACTTAACAAAATATACATCTTAAAAATTCAGCCCTCAAGAATGCTTTTTACAATTGTTTTTATCTGAGAAACAAAGAACTAAAATGGGTAATAATTACAGACACAACTTCAACAATAATCTGGATAATATGCAAGAAGCATCACAACATTCTTCTGAGATTTCTCTTTGTGGTTAACTAACCACGCACCACGGAGGGACCAAAGTTCAGATGTGCACAGCCCAGGGGGCCTCCCAACAAAGTGGCAATGCACTCAAGGGGTTTCTTACCCTCAGTAAATGCCATTAGGGGGTGAGGGGGGAGCCTGGGAGCTTTACCAAGAAGTACACAACCCAGCTTCTTATCCAGTCTGTTGCCATCATCAACTGTCAAACCATTTGCTCCTCTTTGCAAGAGGTGCTCCTTTAGAAGGTCCCAATAATTTCTGCTTATATTGTTCAACCAGCTGGTTGAAGCGGATTTCTGTCTTATTTCCTTTAGCTTTTTTCCTAGGTACCTACAAATGAAATGTAAGGAAATACAAGATAATCAATTTCAAGCGTTAAATATCACCTTACCCTCAGGCCACCCAAGAGAGAAAATAAGTAGGTACAGAGATCTTGTCTACCACAAGAGGTAGACTTCTGGTGACTCTTAGAGAGAAAAACCCAAAAAGAATCATCCACTGGTAAGAAATCACACCAGAAATGCCTAAAAGAACACTAACACACTGTTCAGGTGTTTCAGAGGCCTCTCCCACTCTAGCTCTCAAATGCTCACGTGAATCTCCTCACAAATGAGTCAGCCCAGAGTTTGGATGTTCTTGCTTGCCCTTTCCTGCACCAAGAATACTTATGGGATTGCAGAGATAGAGCTCTATAAAATAGTATGGTATGCGTCAGACTTCCCAGAGACACAGATTTCTTGAGTAGGATGGGAAACTAATGCTTCTTTTACCCTTTAAAGAAAGGGACTAGGAAAGGGGAAAAGAAAACTTGACCTCAACTGTTCAAGACTATAGGACCACCATTTCCTACTAAAAAGAAATAGGGCTCCTTGGAAAAATGGCTAATGCCAGGACCAGGGAAAAAACATATAAGACGAGCTGGGACATCTGGTTGTTCTAGAAAGCAAGGACACTACCAAAGACAGGATAATGTCAGAACGACTCAGGAGCCAACCTGGAGGGGCTTCTGCTGGCCTCAGATGGGATAAGAATAATAACTGCATTTGAATGAAACACATCAAGTATATAAAAACTCAGGAATTCATAATACTAAAAAAATCATACTAGTCACCATAGGAGGTTGGCGGTGTATCAACTCATTACTCTGGAAACTGATAGAAAAAAAATCAAGCATTAACCTGCCTTTCCTATACAAATGGTATTTCATTTCCTATACAAATAGTTGACAAGGGAAGATTCTTTTTTCTAGAATTCAACTAAAAAATGCAAAAGGACTGATAAAATTAGAAAATCACCATTCTGCAACCCATATTGAAATAATGGATCTAGATAGCAATCTTCACTGGGTGCTAAAACCATTACGTGAGAGATTGATGGCGGACTTCACAAATGGAAGATAAGGTAAACAATCCCTAAACCTACTGATCAATCTGAGCATCACTGAAAACGGGGCAACCAGACAGTATGTGCCTTATGATGTGATGCAACAGAAAGCACACAGAACTACCTATGAAATACTCTCGCCAAGAAAACGGCGAGAATCTAATCAAGCCTCTACATCTACCTACCAGTTTACAGGCAATATGGAGTGTTACAGAACAAGTTAAATGACACCACAAGGAAGCAAGCAGCTAAACTCAAAATGCAATACATTCTAAAGGGCAAATGACCTGGTTTCTCCAACAAATTATCAGCATGGAAAACAGTGAGGTGACGAGGAAGAGTGAATATTACAGGAGAATTAAAGACAAAAGATATAAAAACCAAATGTAATGTGTGGACTTTGTTTGGATCCTGATTTATACTAACCAACTACAAAAACACATTTTTGAGGCAATGTGCACATTTTCATAGAGACTGCGTATTAGATGATATTAATGACGTCTTATTAATTTCTCAGATATGATAATGGCATAATATATATGTATGTATGTGTAAGTGTATTTAAGGCCTGGTTAAGTGTACTTTTTTTTTTTTTTTTGTGCGCAAGATCAGCCCTGAGCTAACATCCATGCCAATCCTCCTCCTTTTGCTGAGGGAGACTGGCCCTGGGCTAATATCCGTGCCCATCTTCCTCCACTTTACGTGGGACGCTGCCACAGCATGGCCTGACAAGCAGTGTGTCGGTGCGCACCCGGGATCCGAACCTGGGCTGCCAGCAGTGGAGCACGGGCACTTAACCGCTGCACCACAGGGCCGGCCCCCAAGGCCTGGTCAATTAGATGCATTCCGAGGTATTTTTCTGAGCAATATACTTCATTTTCATCTGAGGTGTATTTACACGTGAAGCAGAGTTTGCTTTAATGTACGCTGGGGGAGGGCCGGCCCCGTGGCTTAGCGGTTAAGTGCATGTGCTCCACTACTGGCGGCCTGGGTTCACATCCTGGGCGCGCACCGATGCACCGCTTGTCCAGCCATGCTGAGGCGGCGACCCACATACAGCAACTAGAAGGATGTGCAACTATGACATACAACTATCTACTGGGGTTTTGGGGAGGAAAAAGGGAAAAAAAAGGAGGAGGATTAGCAATAGATGTTAGCTCAGGGCTGGTCTTCCTCAGCAAAAAGAGGAGGACTGGCATGGATGTTAGCTCAGGGGCTGATCTTCCTCACAAAAAAAAAAGGAAAAAAGTTGGAAAAAAAAAAAAATGTACTCTGGGCTGGGCCAGGGGGAAGCATGTACAAAGAACAGGTAAAATAATTCCTGAAGCAGAGTAACTGATATATGGGCGTTCATTTTACTATTCTCTCTACTTTAAAAACTGTGTACCTCAACATCCTCTAAAAAGCTGCAGTCCTGCATGTGGCTGCAATCCAGAAGCCCTTTCTTTCTGCTCAACTAATCAAGGCAAAAAGTGGCTGCCAGCCCCGGCAGAGCCCTGCCATACTGAAGTCTTATGCTCTATAAAACTTACCTGCTTGGAAGATAATTTCTGCTTCTCTTGTTTCCACTGGTTTATCTGGGGCTTTGGCTTTTTGGCAGGGACAGATTTCACTTTGCCTTTGTCCCGCAACCTGAAATAAGACGGTCAAGTAAGGGTCACCCTGAGTTCTTCCTCTAATTGGCACCCCTGAGGTTCTCTCAGCCTGGAAGATAAAGTTCCTTTTCTTACACTGGCTCTTTCTAAGCCCTTGATAAGTCATTCTATAAAGGGATAGTGCAACAGAATATCCTAAGGCTCAACATTTGTATACTTCTTTTTTTGTTTTGGCTTCAAACCTCAAGAGAATCTCAAAAACCTTCATTTATTTAACAAATATTTTGTAAAGATCAACTTCTGTTTACAGCACTAATTTGCTGCACCAACAGAAACTGTAAGGAAACATCAAGCAAATGGGCCTCAGCTGATAGGGACGGCCATCTGGACAGGAGGAAGCTCTTCAGAAGAGGAGAAAAATGGCATGAAAGCCTGCCCTGGAAGGCTCCTCCGAGGTCCCGTCTGCCAGTCCTGCTCTGGCTTCTATTTGGTCCAAGACTGACATCTCTGCTAGTGTGGAGATACTTGTGCATTCCCCTTCACGTAGGACTGGCCCAGTACTAAGCATCCCATTCATCCAAACAAAAGCCACAAAGAAGAAAAGGGCTAAATGAGAACAAACTCTGAGGAGCCACCCACTGTTCAATGCCGCCACCCTGCATCTCACCTAATTTTGGGGCCTCGGTGTGAGGGGAGCACCAGGACCTTTCTTCTCTTCTTTCCATCAGGCAGCTCCACCTGCTCCACTTCAGCCTTGGTCTGGAACCCTGTCCACGAGATAGAGCCTGCCTTCCCTTTCTGCTCCAGGGGAGCCTTGCTTGGTTCCTGGCTATGGTTTTGAGCTGCTTTCCATTGCTGGTCTTTTCCAAGCTCTGGTTGGTCCTGCTGGGGCTGACCAGTTGTGGACTTGGACTTCACTTTTTGCTGCATAAAACAAGAGACTGCCATCTGCTTTCTGGATGAGGTCTATTTGCTGAAAAGACTCAGTAGAAGAGGAGCTTTATGTGAGCTTGGTGAAAGAAGGGGAATTCTTCCCCCAAATAGTTATAGGAAAGGGAATACAAGCAATTCACAGGCCCTGACATCATAACAGAAGGATATTGAGTGGGGGACGCAAAACAATCATTTACCTTTCCATATGCAGAAATAGGGTGAAAATACACGTGTGCCCAAGACTCGAAAGCCAGTAGAGAAAAGAAAAAAAAAAGGCCAGTAGCATGGAACAATTACTAAAGGTGTAACAAATGTGTAATGGGAATACCAGGAGAAGAAAGAAAGGAACCAATGAAATATTTGATAATACGGGCTGAGATTTTTCCAAACTTAATGACAGACACTAAACCACAGATTCAGGAAGCTCAGCCAAATACCAAATAGAATAAACACCAAAAAATCTACACCTTGGCATATCATATCTAACTGCAAAAAATCAAAGATAAAGAGATAATCTTGAAAGAAGCCAGAGGAGAAAAAAAAAATCTTACCTACAGAGGAGCAAAGATAAGATTATATTGGATTTCTCTTTAGAAACCATGTAAGTAAGAAGAGAACAGAGTGAAATATTTAAAGTTTTGGGGGAAAAAATCACCAACCTAGAATTCTGTATCCAGTGCAATTATCCTCCAAAATAGAAGGAGAAACAAAGACTTTCTCAGACAAACAAAAATTAAAGAAATTGGTCACCAGTAGACCTGCCTTGCAAGAAATGCTAAACAAATTTCTTCAGAGAAGGAAAATGACCTAGGTCAGAAACTTGAATCTATGTAAAGAAAGGAAGAGCATTAGAGAAGGAATAAATGAAATGAAGAAGAGAAGGAAAAGATGCTGTGAGAAGGAAGGCATAAAGTATGTTACAGAGTTATGTTGCATTGAAGTGGAAGATTCATGTGAAATTAAAGTAATAATAATGTGTTATTTTGTCCTTTTCCCCTTAAAAATCTAGATAGGCACATTGATAGAACAAAGATTTATTATATGCCTGTTTTGTGTCAGTCTCTGTTTCTAAGCAGTAAGGGTACAAATGGAAAGAATAAAGTACCTACCTTTCAGGACTCACAGCCTATTGGAGATAAGAGATGCAAACACAAATAAAGCAAAGAAAAAAACTAACAAAGAGCTTAAGGAAGTTCATGAAAGTACAAGTAACGAGGTCTTATCTCTTTTGAGAGAGGTGAGAAAATGCTACTTGAAGAAGCACGTTTGATTTGAATATGGAACTACATAGAAGTATCCTTGAGTCAGGGGAAAGGGGCACTTTTACATAGACAGAGCAGTATGTACATAAGTGTAGGCAACAAATAAAGCCATCTGAACTTTTTTTTTAAGCCTGCAGCTTCAGAATCACCTCTGAAGCAACAGCTTAAGGCAGTAAATAATTCTATACCTAGGATAACAAAGCTGCCTTGAATAACCAGATCCCAGGTTTTCCAATCCAGGACCATTGTATTTAACCCCTGAAACTGTTCCTCTATTGGTCATGCTCATGGTACACACCACAAAAGACAGCAAATGTTTGGTATAGATGCAAGTTAAGGTATCATTTGATGAGAGCTGTAAGTTACAGTATCAAGAATAATCTGGTCCTGTATGCCCTGAGGGAAGATGGGTAAGAGAATGAGATTTGACTGTGTGCTGATCACACAGTATGTAAGACAATTTACATGTATTATCTCATTTAATCTTTATCAATCATGTGAGGTAGATGCTGTTAATCCCATTTTACTAACTAGAAACTGAAGCTGAGAGATGTAATAACTTGCAAGGATCTCAAAAAGGGGCAGAACCAGAGTTTGAACATGAGTCTTCCTGTCCCCAAAGTCCCTGTTCTTTCCTGCATACCACACTAGATTAAAAACAGTACTAAAACTACCCGACATCACAATTCTGGAGCCATCTAAGAAGAAAAAAGAATTATGGAAGCGACAGTTGAAATCTATAGGTAATCTAAAACTTTAATCTTGGCCATTAATTTTGACATGTACCATCACCAAACACTGCATAAGAACTGCTGCTTGGTAATAACATCAGCCTGCTTCTCTCTCCCTTCTCTCCTTTCTTGGGAGCTATTACAAGACAGGCCAGCAGAGGAGAAGGTGGCCTGGACAGTTCTAGGGAAAAACAGCAAAGGGTAACAAAGAACTTAATGAGACAGAGACCTATTTTAAGGGAGCAGAACCACAAACTGAACAATACAGGAGTTTAAATATGGCCTTAAAAAATGGTTTTAAGTGTGCTGTATACATAAAAACAGTAAATTTTATGCTATCTGTATTTTACCACAACTAAAAAAACAAAAACAGAAAAACCATTTCGGTTCTGTACCAGGCTGCGCTGGATCCTCAGTTCCTTTATTTTGAGTTTCCTTCGATCTTCCAAAGAGAACTCCACTATTGGTCGCTGCGTCAGGAGACAGAAAGCCATTCATTAGATTTCTTAATCTCTGAGTGCACTGACCTGAGCTGTCCCCCACCACTGTTCTCTTTTTTGCAAGTCAGAGCCTGCTACTCACTTACTCTACTTAAAGGGGCCAGTTCTGCAAGCAGTCTATCCAATTTAGAGTTCCTTTTAATCATCTTATCACCTGAATCACTGCTCATTCCCTCCACTGACTTTCTACTCTTTCCCACCACTCAAATGTCAGAGGACACTGGACATGAAGGAGAGGAATGGTTTTCTGCAAATGGCTCTCAGGGGAATAGCTCTCCCCACAAGATGAGGCTCACCTTCTGAGGCCCAAAGATTTCTGGATTGTTGTTTATGTGGCGTAGGGCCGTCAGGGCGTGCTCGTGCTCCTGGAACTCTGCAAAGGCGTAGCCCAGGGACTGACCCTTAATTTTCCCGTGAACTCCTTTAAGGTCTCGCATCACCCTACACTATGAGTAGAAAAACAAAAAGCAGCAATAATTACAGGATGATGAGAAGCCTCAATAGATTCAATAAGAAATCAGATTATTGGAACAGAATCTGCATCTACATCACCATCACAAAGAGTTGTACTGGAATAACACTTATGAATATATGCCTTATTAGAATATACCGAGAGCACAAAACAAATTAAACAGACATTTTCTTGCTTTCTAAGAGTTTATAGACATCAACACAGACCTACAAATAAACATGTAAATAAAATAAACTTCCCAAGGAAAAATTATAGTAGCTAACTGTTGACAATATATACAACTTGAGAGGTACATGGTATTTATGATAAGTATTTATTATATAATAAGTTATCACCGAGGATGACGTGTTATCCACAGATCTCATCACTGAAGAAACCACTCAGAAAGGAACTTATTGAAAAAAGGAAGGAAGAAGGCCTTAGATGGCTTTAGATGAGAAAGACATTTCAGGCATGAGAAAGAGCCTGCCCAACATACAGCCTCAGAAATACAGGAAGAAGCTTTAGCTGTCTTTGCTCGGAGCTTAGATCCTCTTCAGCGTGATTTTTCCCTAAATCCTTAAGCTGGATGTAACGCATCCTAGGGCACCAAGGTAGAGTAGGATATTTTGGGAAAATGGATCATTCACATGCTATTACTCCTGGAAGCTGCAGATCTCATGTAACGAAGACGTCTAGATACTGGGGACACTTGGATGTTGCATTTGGTATATGCCTAGCATCTACTCTGTACCTAGAACTGTAGAGGAATCAAGAAAAGTATTAAATGAGGTTCCTGTCCTCAAGAAGCTTACTATCTTACTGAGACACTATATTTATGCATATGAAAGAATTAAGAGAAAATTCAATATAATGCAAATATTGTAAAACACACATAACTTGTTCTAAATGACAAGTTTTAAATTTGCAGACCTTAAGTATTGTGCATGCTGATATGAGAAATTACACAACTGACCCCTATGCCAGTAACACTTTGAACAGTTTTACTAAGAGTAGTGTCAGACATACGCTGATATGTTCACATTCTCTCATGTAATTACCCAAATCCTAATATCATACATTTTGAAGAGGCTTTCAGGGATTAGGAAAACCATTTATGGTGATGAAACAAAGCAAAGCAAATTAATAATATGGGCTATGTTATTTTTTCAATAAACACTGATTGAGAGATTACTATGTGCCAGGTACTATGCCAAGGATTTGAAACAATGGGATAACACTTGCCCCCAAAGAGCTCAATCCAGTCAGGAGAAATGACTGACAGACAGTTACAAGACAGTGTAACAGTCAGTGCTACGATGGAGGTATGCTGTGGGGGCAGAGGAGAGGTTTCTGTACTCACACCGTGTCTAACCAAGTCTTGGTATGAATCCAGTGTTTGTCTGATACAACTGCCAAAGATACAACTCCCTGTGCTCACTACGGGGCACTGAGGACTCTTACCATAGGGTAAGAGCCTAAATGGTAGTAAAATGCTCTTCTAAAGAGCAAAACACACAGATGATTTTCTCTGGAAGAAAATTAACATCACAGCACCTGGTATAATGCTGAGCACCTAGCAGGCACTCAATAAATGCTTGCTAAAGTAATTCACCAGGGCAGAGACTTCCTCATATTTCTGCTGCAATTTGGTCAGATGTGAAAGGCAGTTCCCAGAAGAGAAAAAAAAAAAAGAGAAAAAAGAAAACTGCAAAACTCAGTCTTGTTTGCTGACAACGTGTCCAAAAGAAAATCTGTTAATCTGCTAGCACCACAACTTGAAATATATGCTCGATCTGACCCAGGTACCAAAGTTCTGAGAGGGCAGGGCCAACTCTCACCTCCTTGATGTGCACCCCTCTCTCCCCTCGAGTGGCATTCAGCAGCAGCTTTCTCAGCTGTTTGTCATCCACAGCCTTTGGGAGATTGTGCAGGCAGAGCCTGGTCTGGGAGACAAAGATATTCTGGTCCTTCAGTTTCTGATGTTTCAGTAGCTCAAACTGAAAGAACAACAAACTGTTAATACAATCCACCCTTTAAAAATGCAGGCTCATAGCTCTCTGAAAGGAAAGAACCATGACCCCCATCTAATAACCACATCTACCGACCAAAGGAGGGAAATCACCCACACTGCAGCCTTACAATGCCCAGCATCACAGGGAAAGGTTCAAGGAGGTAGGATGGTGGATAGACAGTACATACAATCATGGGCTCTGGAGTCAAACCGAATTAGAAATCCATCCCTAACTGGAGAAGTAATGTGAAATTTTTTACATCTCAATTTTTTCACCTACAAAGTGCAACTGTAGATCAAAATACTAATCTCTCAGCACTGATGTGTGGCTGAAATGAGGTAATATACATAAAATCCCAAGCTCGAAACGTGGCCCAGAGCAAATAATAAATGACACTGTGGTTAACATCTATGCCCAGTCCTTATTTACCCACCAACTCAAACTAATTATCTAGTCCTTCCAAAAGGAAGCAGAATTTATCTAAAGAATACTCGAGAGAATGTTGTCTTGTCTCAACTCTGCCACCTGGAGGCAAAAGGACACCCAGGACCACAGAAAGGCATTCTGCTTCGAGAGCTACAGCCTCAACTACGCTGCACAAAACATGAGTCCCAGGACAACCTGTCTCTGAAGTGAAAGGATGACATTCTTCTCCTGATTAGTTTTTTTAAAATTAGGATATAGAAAAGTTTTAAATTAAAATGTTCTTTACCAAGTCTTCTCATTCCTGCTGCTCTTTGTTGGGTAAAGGTACTAACAACAAAATAAACAGATACTCTGGAAATGAATATTAAAGGGATATTTGAAGAGGCTATCATGTCGAAGTTCAACAGTCTGATTTTTCTGCCAGGAAAAACTGTGCCTGCTGTGAATTATAATGCATATAATCTAGTGAGCTTTTTACTAGAAAAATTCATTCTAAGAGAAAACTAAATGTGTCACTATTGCATTGTGATCAGAAAAGGGCATACAATGCCCCCTGAATACCATGATTTCCAGATGCTCACTACCAAAGACAGTTGAGAACACTAGTCTAGAAACTGTACACAGAAAAGACACACTGCCTCTTGCTGTCATTATATTCTCATCTCTGTCCACGATTTTCTGCACTGTCAGGTTCCACAGCTAATTCTGTTAGTGGTTATGCATCTTTACCATTCTAGGCTGGCTTATTAGCTTTTTGAAAGTAAGCTATATGGGCAAAAGTAAAAATTACTAGGAACTAACATTACCAAGCAGCAAAGGAACTTAACGGTATCAGTTATCAGAGGAAACTCCCATAACATGGAATTTTCCTAAAAGGATTTTATAATCTAGAGGTATCACCCTCCTCCCCAAAACAGATATCTTAACTATCCCTTCCAAGACCCACATCTACCTCTTTGTCTACTAACTCCAACCCACTCTGATCTTCCCTTCTTATGTTATTCGCATTTATACTGATACCTAATTATACACAGCCCTATAACCTCTAAGTGTCTACTGCATAATCTACAAGCACACTATTCAGCAAACATTTACTGCTGAGCATTAGGAAAATGAAAAATAAGACCCAGTTCATATAATGGCATATATTGCTGATATAATAGTATGTATAATGTTGGGTTATTTGCTGTTTCACCTGTGTGCTGCTTTTCTCTCTAACAAGAGTGTAAGTAGGGTCTGTGATCTATACTTGGCTCTTTGATGAGTACCTCTAGCATTCATTAATTATTATTTATTGATTTATAATAAGTCATGCAGAACCTGAAGGGTGGTGCCTAATCTACTCACTCGTTCTCTTTTAGCCATATCAGCAGTGCTCACACCCTCTGCAGCCTTCGTCCCAGCACGAATCACTGAGGAAAGAGGGAAAAAGGCCAAGACATCAGCAAGGGAATTTTCACTGAGCAACAAGAAGAATGTGATTTGAATGATGCAAGCTCTTTGTACAGGGCCCAGAGGACTACCCTGGCCAGGACATAGTGGCATTTGGGTAGGTCCAGAAATAGGCTACAGGGCTAAGTTCTCGGCTCAGAGCTGCTCTCAAGGACTAAAACTCTGAACACTTTGTGATTTTTGTTCCTTTTCTCCTTCCTTCCCCTCAAAGAAGCTTCATGTACACGCCCAAAGTCAGATGGAAAGGCCTAGAGGAAGTTCTGAAAGTAAGTACATTTTAGGCATTTGGAATGCAAAAATGCTCCACCTGCAACCTGCCCTTGGAATTTCGCTGCTCTTCATGTACTCGGGGGCCACTACTAAGCAATGAGATAAGCCAGCCCAGAAAACAGCCACATTGCCATATAAAGGCCTAGTATCAAAGGCTAATGGTCTTACATTACTAGTCCACACTGTGCAGATGGTAGGCCAATAAATACTCTATGACCTAGAGGACAAGATTCTTATGACCTAGAGGACAAGATTCTTTCTTTTTTTTAATTAAAGCTAATTTTTGATTGTCTTTCTGATTAAGGGAAAGATACTGAGTGTACATTTTAAATCCGTGAATAATCCAAAAGAGTAATTTTAGTCATAATTTTCAACTCCTTCAGAAACCCTATTAGAAATGATGACAAGGGGCCGGCCCCGTGGCGTAGCGGTTAAGTGCACGCGCTCCACTGCTGGCGGCCTGGGTTCGGATCCTGGGCGCACACCGATGAACCGCCTGTCAGGCCATGTTGTGGTGGCATCCCATATAAAGTGGAGGAAGATGAGCACGGATGATAGCCCAGGGCCAGTCTTCCTCAGCAAAAAGAGGAGGATTGGCATGGATCTTAGCTCAGGGCTGATCTTCCTCACACACAAAAAAAAGAAAAAAGAAATGATGACAAGAAGCAAAGATAATTAGAGTTTTTCCTCCCTCTTGCCCTGCCAAATCTCCAATAAAAAGATCTAAAGGTATGCAGGCAGAAAAGCAAATGGACTGGTTAATCCACAAATTGGGTGGAGGTTTGCTAACAGAAAGCGACATCTGCTAAAGTGGAATCCTAATATAACACTGTTAAAGGAGATATTTGGGTTTTTAATTTGAAACATGCCCCCAAACATACTATTGCTAGGTCACTGTCACGGCACAAGGCCAGCTACTCAGAAGCCTGGTCCATGTCTCCCTTCCACTACTCACAGCCTTCCCGGGCCAGGTAGAGGTTCCGGGTTCCAGTCGGCTTCTTCACTTTCTTTGTCTGGAGCTTTGCAGCCTCATCACGGGTCACTGCCAAGTCAACCTTGAGCTGCCGGCCATCCAGTTTAAGTCCACCACCCTATAAGAGATTGTAACTCTCTCTCTTAAAATACATAACGAGTAGAAACTAAGCACCTGACAAGGAACACCAAGAAAAGGGAAACAGCAAGCCCCAATAATGCTATAGAGTCCAACCCCCAGGATGTTTTAGCCCAGCTGGCTGCAAGTGGATCACCGAGCCTAAGAGTATTTAGTAGAGGTGTGCAAAAGGCCACATGTGTACTTAGGGCGGTCAGCAGTAAATCATTTATTTTACAGGAGTTGATTAGTCCCAAAGTAGACACAAATTGAGGAAAATGATCTGTAAACAGGCAAATTTTTAGTATTCTAAAGAAAGTTAATGAAATGGTATTGTTAACTCAAGGGAATGAAGAGACAACGGCATCAGGATAGCTTATCTCAAAACAATGTATACTTGGTTATGGAATACACAGAAAAATTCTCCATCACCCACACACTTTCTCTCTCTAACAGTTACTCTACTTCATAGATGGCCTTAATCCATTCTTGTCCCAGTATTTCATGTCATCAGCCTAGGATAGAGGCTGACATACAGACAGGGATCAATAAATATTAGACACATTATTATACTTGTTTCCTCACCTATAAAATAGAGATAATAATTGTACTTACCTTATAAACCCCTATCAGGCTGATGTAAAGATTAAAGTAAGGTAATACATGTAAAGCTCAGTGCCTAACACACAAAGTGCTCAATAAGTGTTAACTTTATTATTATCATATTATTGACAATAATGATAATAACAATAATATAGCTTTGTGTAAACATCAGATGTTGCCACTGGAAGCCACTATCACCTAAGTTTCAGGGTAAAGGAAATGTCTGCCTTACCTCAGTCTCTGGAGAAGCAGCTTCAAGGCATTTCTGAGCTGCTTCTTGAGTCATGAACTGAGCAAATGCACAACCTGCACGAGAGACAAAATTAAGTGAGATCCCAAACTCCCATGGCCCACCAGGAAGCCAAAGACAACACTACAAATGGTGGCAGCCTGACACAAAGTGGAAGGGGTATTAGCATCCTTATGCTAAGTACCATGAGACAGGCGCTGTGTCAGGCACTGAAGGTTCAAAGACATAAGACAGCACACCTGCTCACAATGAAATTTTATTATTACTTCCTTCATCTTTTCCAATGCTTCTTAGAACTTTAGTCTCACCATCTCGCTCCTTAATAAGAAATATGCACAAGAAATGATAGAGTAATCACTTACTGCGTGCCTATTAGAGGACTAAAAATGGGCAGGAACTACTTAACCCTGAAGTTAATTATAGATCTCATAGGGAGGCATCAGATAAGGGCAGATATGCCTCTTGGAGTAAAAGTCTCTGGCCTCTATCACACGAATATAGTAGTGAACCAGAAAGCCATGAGCTCAATTCTTGACTCATGCTCTAGAATTTCCACAGGCATACCTTTTACTGGCTAGACGTTAAGGCCAATCAACCCATCCTAATTTCTGCTATTGATAAAACACAGCTTTCACAAGCAAATAAAAAAAAAGTTCACTTTACAGTAAACTCCAAAAAAAAAACCAAAGTTACATAATATTTTGTTAGTATTCCTTTAAACTTTAAATATTCTCTCATATGTGAAAACAATGCCATATTTCCCAGAGCTACTGGAGCATTGATCTTTTGTCACTATTTGCAGATGACATGATTTTATATATAGAAAACCCTAAAGAACGCACCAAAAAACTATTAGAAATAATAAGTGAATACAGTAAAGTTGCAGGATACAAAATCAACAAACAAAAATCAGTTGCATTTCTATACACTAACAATTTACTACCAGAAAGAGAAATTAAGAATACAATCCCATTTACAATCGCAACAAAAAGAATAAAATACCTTGGAATAAATTTAACCAAACAGGTGAAAGACCTGTACACTGAAAACTATAAAACATTGCTGAAAGAAACAGAAGCCACAAAGAAATGGAAAGATATTCCGTGCTCATGGATTGGAAGAACTAACATAGTTAACACGTCCATATTTCCTAAAGCAAGCTACAGATTCAGTGCAATCCCTATCACTTCCCAACAATAAAATCCCCAACAACATTTTTCAAAGAAAGAGAACAAAGAATCTTAAAACGGAACAAATCTTGATATGGAACAACAAAAGACCCTGAATAGCCAGAGGAATCCTGAGAAAAAAGAACAAAGCTAGAGGTATCACACTCCCTGATTTCAAAATATACTACAAAGCTACAGTAATCAAAATAGCACAGTACTGGCACAAAAAGAGATCAATGGAACAGAACTGAGAGCCCAGAAATAAACCCACACATCTATGCACAGCTACTTTTCGACAAGGGAGCCAAGAACATACAATGGAGAAAGGAAAGTCTCTTCAATAAATGGTGTCGGGAAAACTGGACAGCCACATGCCAAAGAATGAAAGCAGACCATTATCTTACACCATACACAAAAATTAACTCAAAATGGATTCAAGACTTGAATGTAGGATTTGAAACCATAAAAGTTCTAGAAGAAAATATAGGCAGTACGCTCTCTGACATCCATCTCAGCAGCATATTGTTGAATACCATGTCTACTCAGACAAGGGAAACAAAAGAAAAAATAAACAAATGGGACTACATCAAACTAAAATGCTTCTGCACAGCAAAGGAAACCATCAACAAAATGAAAAGACGACCTAACAATTGGCAGAAGATAATTCACAAACCATATATCTGGTAAGGAGTTAATATCCAAAATACACAAAGAACTTGTACATCTCAACAATAAAGAAACAAACAACCCAATTAGAAAATGGGCAAAAGATCTGAACATTTTTCCAAAACAGATATACAGATGGCCAAAAGGCACATGAAAAGATGTTCAACATCACTAATTATTACGGAAATGCAAATCAAAACTACAATGAGATATCACTGCATGCCCGTCAGAATGGATAATTAACAAGAAATAAGTGTTGGAGAGGATGTGGAGAAATGGGAACTCTCATACACTGCTGGTGGGAATGTAAACTGGTGCAGCTGCTATGGAAAAACAGTATGGAGATTCCTCAAAAAACTAAGTATGGAAAGCCAGCCCCCTGATGGCCTAGTGGTTAAAGTTTGGTGCGCTCTGCTTCAGCAGCCAGGATTCAGTTCCCAGGCGCAGAACCACACCATTCGTCCGGCAATAGCCATGCTGTGGCGGCAGCTCACATAGAAGAACTAGAAGGCCTTACAACTATGTACTGGGGCTTTGTGGGGGAAGGAAAAAAAACAGGAAGATTGGCAACAGATGATAGCTCAAAGCAAATCTTTCCCAGGCAAAAAAAAAAAAAAATTAAGAATAGAACTACCATATGATCCAGCTATTCCACTTCTGGGTGTTTATGCAAAGAACACAAAAACATCAATGTGCAAAGATATATGCATCCCTATGTTCATTGCAGCACTATTCACAATAGCCAAGACTTGGAAACAACCTAAACGCCCATCAATGGATGAAAGGATAAAGAAGATGTGGTATATATAACACAATGCAATCCTACTCAGCTATAAAAAAAGATGAAGTCTTGCCATTTGCGACAACATGGATGGACCTTGAGGGTATTATGCTAAGCAAAATAAGTCAAATGGAGCAAGTCAAATACTGTGTGATTTCACTCATAAGTAGAAAATAAAAACAACAACAACAAACAAAAACATAGATACAGAGATTAGATTGGTGGTTACCAGAGGAAAGGGGGGAGGGAGGAGGGCGAAAGGGGTGATAGGGCACATGTGTACAGTGATGGATGATAGTCTTTGGGTGTTGAACTTGATGTAGACTACACAGAAATCAAAATATAATGAAATTTATATAACAATATAAACCAATGTTACCTCAATAAAGAAAAAAAAAGAATGAATGCCAGAGACTAACTGAAAAGACACATGTGGCAGGCCAACAGAAGGGTCACCACCTAGTAGGTCTTCCCTGCTTCCTTCAGGCAGAGCCAAGTACCCCACCCACAGGTCCTCCACTCACATCTCTATTAGAGTACTGGTCAGGTGACATGTTCCCAAACAGACTGAATGCCTCAGGAATAAGGGCCATGTTTCTTGGCTATTTCTATATCCCTAGCACCTACCATAATGTCCAGCATTAATAGAAAGAAACAAATAACAAAGAAATATGGGGAAAATAATGTTTCTAATAGGCAGATTAGTCTATTCATCCAAAATGAAGAAAGTGGGTAATTCTCTCTGAATAGGTAAGAATTTTATCATTGGAATTTCCAGGATCAGTACCGGGCTCAGTCTTAACACTTCCCAAAAAGTCTTCAGATAACATTTAGCTCTTTCAGGCAGTGAAATGGCATGCTGACAGGGATAAACTGTAGGAGGAGGCCAAAGCTGTTGTGAATAGGGAGAAACAGTGCCAGAAAAATTTACTATGAGCTAGGGAGAGATAATGTATTAAGAAAAAATAATGAGGGGCTGGCCCCACGGCCTAGTGGTTAAGTTCAGTGTGCTCCACTTTGGCAGCCCAAGTTCGCGGGTTCAGATCCTGGGTGCGGACCTACACCACTCATCAGCCATGCTGTGGCAACAACTCACGTACAAAATAGAGGAAGACTGGCACAGATCTTATCTCAGAGCTAATCTTCCTCAAGCAACAAAAAAAAAAAAAGGAAGATTGGCAACAGATCTTAGCTCAGGGCAAATCTTCCTCAGCAAAAAAAGAAAAAGAAAAAAGAATGAAAACTATGCTTATTAAGATCATTAACTCTCAGCTAACATCAATAAACCAAGAAAGAGATTGAGCAAGTCAACTGTAGACTACCTTCCGAAAATATCAACTCAATATACTACTGCACTCAAAAAGGAACAAAGGATATCATCAAAGTAAAGCAATATCCTACAGTACTTGGAACATTCTATGTAATTTTAGTTGCCCATTTTTAGAAAAACATACTAGAAATGGAGAAGGTCCGAGAAGTATAACTGAATATCAGAGCTGAAGTCACTGTAAGTGATTACTCTAGTTGAAACTACTCATTTTACAGACAAGAAACTGAAGGCCAGGGTGCCTAAATGATTTGCCAAAAATCACCCAGCTGTTCTGTGGCTTAGCTAGGATTAGATCCCTAATCTCCAGGAAGCAGTTTAGTTTTCTTTCCATCATATTGCCTTATTTACATCTTTTTTAGCTAAGTAAAAACCAAAAATGATCAGGTCTCATCCATTTGGAAAATAAGAAGGTTTAGAATGGAGATTATTAATCCATGCCTAGGCTCCAGAGAGCCCACAAACCCTCAGAAGTGGCATTTTTCTGAGACGGTTCATTGTTTTTGCTAGATCTCAAAGGAATCAAGAATCAGAATGAATTAAAAATTCACTGCTTTGGGAGAATGACTGCAGTTGATAAAATCAAAGATTATGAATGGTTGAAAAGATGCTTCCCTAATAACAGTAAACTAGAATAAGGAGTAGTCAACCCTTGAGGCTCAAAAGAAATAGCTTTAGGAAAAAAAAAAAAATCGAAGGCAGCACTCCTGCTACATGGTTTTCCTTCCGACTGTTGCCACTGCAACAAAGTTTCTCTGTCAACTTTCATCTCTAACAAAAGCAACTAAAAAAGATCCCAGTAATTTCAAGCAATGTGGAATGATTAATACCCATGAGCTGTTATCACATTTGAAATTCAAAGGAGAACAGCCAATGGAATTCATTACCCTAAAGTAAACAACCAAGGGCTTAAAAAGCTTAGACAAAATTATGGCTGGCAGCACCATTAAAGGTGCTGAGTTTGACATCATAGAAAACGACCTCAGAATGTCCTTGGTGCTTCTATAGACCACAGAAACCTGGACGGACTGTGAACCCCCTAGAAAGGCACACATTATGCTCTCATGTAACCTAGCCAGTGTCCGTGGCAGTGGTCTCAACCCTTTTAGGGCCTGACCAGCTGACAGCAAATACCTTTAGAATGCTCTGTGTCTGGATGCAAGACAATGCGGACATATTTAAGATCTCCAAATTGCTGGAGGAGCTCCCCAAGTTCTTCTTCATCTGAGTCAAAGGACAGGTTTCTATGGACGACAATCAGGTCACAAGAAAGGTCAATTACAAAAGTGAGATTCTGTGTTTCAGTACAAGGTGAGTGAGTTACACATCAACTGTTCCCTTGTTCATGACCACTCTCCACCCTTCCTTGTTCAAGAATAGCACTGAGAGGGGTGGCCCCCAGTAGCCAGGTCTGTGATGTATGACTCCACCACTCGGCCATAACGGACCGACCTTCCTATGTCAATCAGATTCTCTCTCCCAGGAATTTAAAACTTGAACAGACATATACAAAGACCAGAAGTTGCAGATGCAGATTCACTTCAAAACAGCAGTGCCCCACCTGAGGGAAACTTTTGGGGAGCTGAAAATTTTCTATCTTGATCTGGGTGGTGGTTACATGGATATATACACACACACACACATCCATATATATTTGTGTGTGTGTGTGTGTGTGTGTGTATATATATATGTGTATATGTATATATATATGGTTATATATATATGAAAAATATCACTGAGTTTTAGACTTAGATTAATGCACTTTACAGAATACATGTTACACCTTAAGAAGGAAAAGAAGGGGCGGGGTCCTCAGAGAAAAGACCTGCAGCCTGCTAGGGTCTCAGAACTGCCCTGATTTTCATCCCCTTCTTGAGGTTTGCTCTTTGACAACTTGGATTCTGTGAGCCACCCTAATCTTCATCCAACAAACCTGCTTTTTCACGTAAATTGGCCAAAATTAGTTTCCCTTACTACAACCAAAAGACTCACAGCAGGCTAATGAGAAAAGTCAAATGTCTCTCTCTCTCTTTCCATTAGCCGTTTTCTCGTCTGTGCTGCTATGAAATCAGGTTTCAGTTAAAATTTTATGGAAGTCATAAAATCCTTCAAAATAATAACTCAGAAGCAAACATGGTAAAGTTTACTAGCTAAGCGCAAAAAAAGGAAACTACTTATTTCTCTCAATGGGATTAAAAAATGTTGGAAGGAGATTTTGTTCTACTAAATTTCAACAGAGTGTAAAGATTCCTCATTTCCCCAGCTATGCACAGCCTTCCAGGGCTAAGAAAAACAGTCCCAAATAAATATCTACTATTTTATTTCTCTTATACTCAGTTAACAACCCTATAAATGATTCTACCTAATGGAGTAAGCAAGACAAAAAAGATGTTCTGCAATAAGACATATACTAGCTACATTATTTCTTATTTGCCTCATCATGTACATAGTTTTTTCTCTTCTATCCCATTACTTTCCTAAGTTCTTTATTAACTAAAAGACGTGTAAGAAGTGGTACCCTTAGTATTGAGGTCACAGGCTTCTAAATGTGACATTTCTTCCTTCCTTTTAGACAGAATCCTCTGCAAACACAAAATTATTTATATAGCAATTCTAAATAATACAGTAAAAAAAATTATGGAGAGACATGTTATAGAGGAAGAAAATGGGCTACAGCACAGCATGCATAGGCTAAACTCATCCTTGTGAATATTTACGATATGGGCATGTGTGTGGGTGTTCTCTGAGTAGTGATTAAGGTTAATTATCTTGGTGGGTTTTTTTGCTCATTTATTTCCTAAATTTCCCACAATAAACATAAATTAATTGTATAACAAAAATAATCTTACGAGATTGTACAAGAGGATAAAATATACATTTCCAAAATAAGACCCAATGGCCCTAGCACACTGGTACTTAAGCAAGGATGAGAAGGCATACTTGAGGCGTACCGAAGATATCCTGACCTTCTGAAAACGCCAATCTACTGCAGCCAATAGGACTAAAACAGCAATGGAAACAAGAAATAAAACCTATCTCCACCCCAACTCCCTCCCTCAGTTTTCCTGGAAACAGACAGGATGCTTTACTTTATTCTGGACACTACTTTAGAATGTAAGTTAGGCATGAAGAGAGAAATCATTTGGGAGTAGTGGTGTTACTGCCTTCCCAGCACTCCCCCTAAAACAAAGGCCAGAAGCAAGATGTTTCTAACAGTTGAAGAATTGATTTGTTCCAAATGATGCCACCCCAATTACAAAGAATGAAATCTAAATGAGGACAAGATAGAAAGACCCCTGCTATTTATCTTCTGTGTATACTTCTGATTTTCCTACATTTCTCATTGTTTGGTATGTTCCAAGGGCCAGATGTGCCAATGGTCTTAGAGGAGTCTAACTCCCCAGCCTAGCTAACAGAACTGGTGCCAAAAAAAAAAAAAAAAAAGAAGAAGAAGAAGAAGGGAGGGAACAAGGGAGGAGAAGAGAAAAGAGAAACCTCTGAAGGCAACACAATCAGCAGTTGTCAAGGTAGAAAGGCATACCTGATAAAAACAGTTTTCCCTTCATTCACGTCAGACGGTAGTTTCCTCTTCTTTTTCTTTGAGACTTTTACATCTAAAGTAAAAAAAAAAAAAAAAAAAAACCTGAAAAAAGAGTAGTGCAAGCCATACAACCAAGGGGTAACTTCTTAAATATATAAAGATCTTGTGTAAATCAATAAGAAAAAAAACCCAATTAAAAATGAACAAAGTATATGCAACTAAATATATGAAAAGACGCTCAAACTTACTCATAATTAAATAAAAACACAGCACAAGAAACAAGACAACTATCTTTCACCAACAGATTAGCAAAAACCAAAAGATAGATGAAATCTACTGTGGTAAGAGTGTGGGAAAAAAGAGAGTCCCATATACTGTTGTGACAGTGTAAACTTTTTGGAAATATAAAACATGTAGAACATTTGAGGAGGAAAAAAATACACATTCACACAAACAACGTACACTATATTGTATATGTGTGCGTATACGTGTGTGTGTGTGTGTGTGTGTTTGCTTATACAGGTATTAAATATCTTTAGATACACAAGAAACTTAGTTGTCTCTGGGGAGGGGCCCTAAGTGGTTGAGGATCGGGGTATAAGGGAGACTCACTGTTTTTAAAAATAGACATATAATGCTTATACATACATAGAACATTTCTGGAAGGATACAAAAGAAACAACAGTAGTTACTTTGGGGGACTGTTGGGGCAACTGGTGAGGAAATTTTACTTTTTATATTATACTCATCTGCACTGTGTTTTTCATTAATTTTCTCTCATTATTATCTATTAGTCTTATAATTTTTTCAAGTGAAAGAATGGTAAGAGACAGCTGAATCTGGCTATAGAATGCAAGGTTTCATAGGCCCTTTGGTATAAAAGCTTCTTTGATTTTAAGCTGTCTACCATTCTCTCCTCACGGAAAACGCTAATTTCCTCAGATTTCTTATATGGTCAAACCAGCATGTCAGACTTATAGAAAAGGAAACAGAAGGGAGTGACCCGATAAGTGAATAAAAACCTCCATCCAGACAAAGTAAAGGACCAGTTATTGGCCACTCCTCGTTTTGTAATGACCTACCTCCCTCAATAAACAAGTTAGGCTTACCCCCAACATTCTTAATAAAGGTAGCAACAGGATTTGGTTACAGTTTTACAAAATGCCCGAAGAGGTCCTTTATCCCCATCTCAACTCAAAAGACTTGTTTAAAATCCACCTTGGTGTTAGGATGCAATATCCTGTTTATCCAGTTATTCATTCAACTTGGATATCGAGAGAGAGAAGTAGTACCTTAGCATTAAGCTAGGTTTTAAATTCCCTAACAAAGAATCTTAACCCTCAAACACCACTTCAAATTCATTTAAAAAACAAAACATAGGGGCCGGCTCCATGGCCTAGTGGTTAAGTTCAGCACGCTCCACTTCAGTGGCTCAGGTTCAGTTCCCAGGCCAGGACCTACACCACTTGGTGGCCATGCTGTAGTGGCGGCTCACATACCAAATAGAGGAAGACTGGCACAGATGTTAGCTCAGGGCCAATCTTCCTCAGCAACAAAGAAAAAAAAAAACACCTTTTTAGAACACCTTTTAGAAGACAGGAATATAAAGCTTTCATTTTTAGCATCTAAACATAAATTTGACAGAACACCTTAGGGTCCTATTTAAAAAGAGGCCTGAGCTGAACTGATGCACATTTCTCAGTAACTTAAATTTAAAGGCATCTACAAAGATCCCAGGCAAACCTTCATCCTCTTGCTCTTCAGTGTTGGTATCACTCTGTGCCAGTTCCTCTCCACCATCAATACTATCTGTTTCCTCCAGGTCGCTGTCATCATAGGAATGCTCCTCTTCACTGCTTTCTGCAGGTGCTGCCCTCTTGACTGCTCTGCAATGGCACAGTTCAGAACTAAGGATCTGGGCTGAGACAGGGGCCTATCCAACTTCATTACACATGTCAATTCTGCAATGATGGGGGCAGGAAAAGACATCATTTCTCCTCTCAGAGACAATCCTAAACTCCCTCTGTTGTCTCAGAATAAGCTGAGCTGCTTACCTCTTCTGAATCTGCACAGTCTTCATCACCTTTGATTCTTTATTCTCTTCCTCCTCTTCTTCATCATCATCATCCTCTTCCTCTTCCATATCATCATCCTCCTCCCCCTCCTCCTCCTCCTCTTCTCCCATATTCTCTTCTTCCCTGCCATTCTCTTTACCTAATTTCTGATGTTTAGGTTCAGGCCTCTTCCCCTCACCTACACAGGGAAGCAAAGAAAGTTAGGAACTCATTTAGTATCCAAAACAAGGTTATTTTAACAAGAGTAACTAATACCCCAAGTTCCTAGTTCCTTTGGTTTTACGTTATCTCATATATTTTTCTTACTCTACTTAACAGGGGAAAGTATGAGGAAAAAAAGCAAAAAACAAACAACAAAAACTCCTCATCACCGAGATTCCCTTGGAGTCTGTCTCATCCATCAGAAACCTGAAAGTTAACCTGGCTGGGGATGAGAGACGTAGCAACTGAGCCTCCACAAACAGCCTACCACTGTGCACCATGGCCAGCACAAGCCTTGCTCTGGAGCCCAACTATGAACTTTAATCTCGCTGAGTTCTGTTCTCTGAGATCCTGGTGACTTAAAAGCCAATTGTTTTCTTAATAAAACTCAAATTTTAAGTTTCCCTATTCTTAATGTTCTATGACTCCCTATTATGAAAAGCTGTGAAAGGACAGCAAGTAGAGGGGACAATGAGTTCAGGCCCTACCCCTCGCTTGCACCCACATCCAGGAGTGGGCTTAGACCCAAAAGATCCTGTTTTGGGACCAGATCACCAGATGGTACAATATAAATTGACAAAGAGCTCTGGGCTCATTACTGAGCCAGCAGGAATTCAGAGTTTTTCTTACTCCTCAGTCTCATTCTTTTCGTTAATCTTCTGCTTTTGGTATCTCCAGCTCAATATTCTTGCTGACAAGCAGGTTCCCTGATACTTTTATCATAGATAGAGTTGTTTCCACACTCACCCCAGGACAGACAAACCCTCCTGTGCAACACCACCACATCTTACCTGGGGCAGAGGCAGATTGTGTATTTTTATATTTATCCTTTGCCACGGCCCAATCCACAGCCACTGTCCGCCCTGTGAGACAGAAAAGTAGCATCAGAAAGGCCTTCTTCTTTTTAACAGTCCTATCTCCTGTAAACGACTTCTTATTCATCAAAGACAGTTACAGAACCAAAGGAGACAAAGAAACTGCCAATTCAGACAATGCTGGTCCTAAAATACAACTCCTTAACCTTTCTATCAATAAACAGAAATTTTACCCTTCTACACGCCTGGGATAAGAAAGAGTAAAAAAAAATAAAGAATTAAAATGGTGCTTCCAGTTAGACTTAAGTTTCCAGTTAGACTAGCAAGAGGCAAAACAGGCATTCTGGAATAATCTGTACCCTACTCAGAAGTTAGGAAGTCTCTAAGCCAATCCCTTCTTTAGGCAGAGTACCTGGTAAATCAACATCAGAGTAGCCTCACGGTCAGTTTAATAGCCCACAGATGGTGAATAGTGATCATAACCAAGAAGGAGGAACCTGCAAATCCCACATCCCCTAGACAGCAACCTGCATCCATCAGTGATTATTTTAGGGACATCTTTCATTAGGGATTTAAAAGGACATCCATCACCAAATAAAGAAAAGAGAATAATGACATGGGTTCTTTCAAGTTTAACCCTAAGATCAAGTACTAGGAATATTTCACCAAAACAGCTTCTATATTAGCAGTGAGACTCTCAACAATGCAAACAGCTTTTGAAAATGTAGAAAGTGGGTTACTGTGCTAATTCACCCCAACACCAGGAAGATCTGGGTCAATGGTATATGTATAGAAAACTTACCTTTTATCTCTTTCATGTTCATGCTTTTCAGAGCTTTTCCTGCTTCTAGGAGGTTTTTGAACTGAACAAAAGCAAAACCACGCATCTTTCCATCTGTGTGCAAACATACAAAGCAGTCAGAGGCAGCAGGTAGGGAGCCAACAGGCACTAAGAAAGATATTATAGCAAACCAAGCTGGCAAGATGGCCCAAATCCTGCCAACCAGCCAGCCCCTTGCCCAACCAATAGCTTATGTCCTGCTGAGTATACCCTGACTCAGGCTTGGGAAAAGCAATGCATTTTCTCAAACCATAACTCGTCTTCTAAAACTAGTTCTGATCTAACTAAAAATACTATCAGGAGAATAAGTGCTATTATTTGAGTTTTATTACTCGTCAAGCACTGTGCCTGATACTTTATATATATCATATCATATGGGGCTCACAGAGAGTATGACATGAACCTTGTATTTCTATTTCAAATGGTGCTTAGTTCAAGGGTGATATGGAAAAAGACCATTACATAAAATAATCTAATCCACACCAAATGAAGGCCTGCTAGTACCTGGTTTCCTAGGGATGTTTACTTCCAGGACAGCTCCAAACTGAGCAAATACTGTCTTCAAGTCATCTTCTGAACACTGAGGCCAAAAGTGAAGAAAGAAAAAGAGATATTATCACAACCAATAAACACAAAACATCAACCACTAAATTAGCTCATTAGGAAGAGCTTGAATATTTGTACTTCGTTTTTACTTTTGAGACTAGGACATCAAACATTTCAGAAAAGAAGACATCTGGCTTTGTATCTAAAAGGCAAAAAGGACAGACATCAGAAAGCTTTTCTCCCCTCCCCTTCTCAGTAGTAGTTTCCCCAAAAGGAAGGCATCTTCACATTTACTGTCCTTAGTAAGTTCTTATTTATACAGGTCCATTTTCTGACTGCAACAAGGTTAAGATTCATTCCCAGAAGGAATTAAGCCCAATTATACCGTCTTGGTGAGGAGTTCCACCAATGAGCATGCCTTGGCTCCACCAGCCTTCAGAACACACAGTGTTAGTCTTCTCTGTTGCTTACCTTAAAGCTCAGGTTCCGAATAATTAACCTGGCTTTCTTATCTGCCACTTTGGCTTTTTTAGGCTTCAGCTCCTTCTTTAGGGACTCTGATTTTTCTAAAAAGTAACAGGCAATGCAATAAGTCTGTGCTCCAAAACCACCCACCTCTAGGCCCAGACCACCACAGGAAAGAAGCTACTAGCAACAAATGACATTTACCACAGGGTTAAGTATGGCAACTCCCAAGAACACCAGATGTTCCAGAATTAGAAGCAAACAAAAGACTAGAACGAGTAACAAAATACATTTGATGATTTAGGACATCAAAAGGAAATTCAGGAAGCTTTCAGTCTAGAAGCTACCCCCAGTGCCACTCTGCCTCCTCTTCACTCCGGGGGAAAACTCTCTTCAGTTACTAGAAACTGACCATTTTTCTCCTTGTCCTTGGACTTGTTCCTCAGCTTTTTCTTAGCAACAGTCACATTGATCTTGCAGCCTTCAAAGGTAGTAATCTCCTTGAGGGCCCGCTGAACATCTTCCAGCATAGAAAACGTGACATAGCCAAAGCCTCGACATGCCTTACTCCCTGGAACAGTATTGGGGTGGGAGGGAGAAAATCATAAACCAAGAGCCCTAAATCAGTAAATTCTCAAAGCCTTAAACCAGCAGATATACGGCCAGGACATCCTGTTATCAGTTTGCCAAGATTCTCAGGAGGGAAAGAAAGAAGGTTGTCATCAGTGGCCCCTTCTCCACTTTGCTCAGAAATTGTTAGGCTTTCTCTTCTAATTTGGTGTCTTCGCTGTTAGCTCCTCTTCCTCCTGCTTTCCCGATAATCTCAAGGATATGGAGGATCCATGATATACACTACACCTTCAAAGAAGAACTCAACATCAAATAGAACAGAATATCACCAGAGAAGTTAGAAACAGTAAGTATGACAGCTCCAAAAATTACAATGTAATAATACTGCCCCTCCTCAGAAGAGATCAGCAATGAATGCCTGTGGTCCTGACAAAAGAACCGCAAACCACAAACATTGTTTCTGGAGCCTGCAAATACTATTACCATTATTACCAAGCCTTAGTGATCATTATCAAATTAAACCTTTCCAAAGTGGCTCTAAATCTCTTATCTCACTTTATCTTCAGAACACACCAACGTAGGTAAGGCAAATATTATCATCCCTTTTTTCCAAATGAATACAGTCACAAGCCGCATAATGTAGTTTTGGTCAATAACTGACTTTATATAAGATGGTGGTCCCATAAGATTAGTACCATACAGCCTAGGTGTGTAGTAGGCTATACCTTCCAGGTTTGTGGAAATACACTCTATGATGTCCGAACAACACAAAATCGCCTAACGACGTATTTCTCAGAACGTATCCCTGTCGTTAAGCGACCACTTAGAGTAGCCAGGGAAGCCCTGACTAGGTGACATAGCGGCATTCAAGATCATTAAGAAAATTAAATGAGATAAAAACACGTGTGAAACCCAGAATCGGATCTGGCAATCAGTTGACTCTCAATAAGCCTCACTTATGTTTTATTACAAGTTAGCTATTTTCATTATTACTAAATCAGATCTTATCTGTGAGTGCGCATAAAAAACGGAAAGCGCTCTATAGAGTTAAGGGAACGCTCTGACTTTCAAAAACAGACTCCTATGGACTCGTTTAAAGCAGCATCAGTTTAGAAAAGAAACTCAATTCCCAGTCCCTTCTCTGAGGGGCGGGGAAAAAAATTATACGGCTCTCTGAAGTCTGGGAGGGTGTCCTCGCCCCCATCCCGCTCCCAGGAAACCCCAACCCATCCTCGACCGCCCCGCCCCCTACCTTTCTCAGTCACCACGAAGCACTGCTTCACCGGCCCCACCTGACTGAACAGCTCCTCCAGCTGCTCGCTGCGGGCGGAGGGCGGGAGGCGGCCCACAAACAGGGTCAGCCCGGCCATGAGGCCGAGAAACCGATGCGCTTGAGGCCTCGAGCGTACCAAGCGGGCGCACGCGAGTCAAAGAGCTGGCTTTGGCAGTGGAACACGCCGAGTTGCCGGAAGGTTCCGGAAGTGCTCGTTACCCAAAAGAGTCCGGAGGAAAACGTGGTGGGAAGGGGGAAAACCATTCCGGAATGAAAAAATGGTGACGCCTGGGGGCTGAGCTTCTTGAGTGGGGCTCCACCCCTAGTACAAGTACCGCCCCCAGCCTTTGGCTCCGCTAGTTCCTGCTCTGCTTAAAATTGCACCTCAGGGGATGGATACCAAATTCACCACGGAAGGCAAGAGAAGTGGTTTTTTCTCCGGGCCTAACCCAGGAGCGGACATATAACGGATGTTTAATAAATACTTTCCGAGGTCGCACCACAGACTCCCAGATTACGTGCATAAAACGCAGCCAGAATGCACACAAACACAAGTACGTCACACACATCGTTCGGACATTTCTCACGTTCTCAGAAAATATGAGACATCTGTCACACTATAGCATAACTATAACTGTGCCTATAACACTTCGCAAATTACAGCTACTAAAGTAACACGTAGACACAGATTGTACACAATTTCATTCTTTCGATAAATGTTTCCTGAGGTCCTACTATGTGCCAGGTACTAGGAATAAAATTGGAGAGCTAAAAAAGACAGGGGTCCTTGCCCTCATGGAGAATATCGTCTAGTGGGAGTAGACAGACATTACCCCAAAAAATCCTACGCATAAATCACAGCACACACACTGCAAGATACACCCAAAACAAACATAACATCCAGCTTATACACACAGACCTAGAACCCAGGTGACCCCAGAGACAGGGGAAGATCTTCTCTGGGGTCAGTTTATCAGACAGACCCAAGGCTGAGGGACCTCACTGGCAGGGAGGAGATCTGGGTGCTCCTGGATCCTGGAACACAGGATTGAGCTCTGGCACTCGTCTATGTGCAAGACTGCAGCACCCTGCAGAATGTCCAGCTGAAAAAAAATACCTGGTGCATTTTTTAAATAATAACAATAATTTTTTTTTTTTTGGTGAGGAAGATTGGCCCTGAGCTAACATCCGTGCCCAGCCTCCTCTATTTTGTATATGGGACTCGGCCACAGCATGGCTTGATGAGCAGTGCCTAGGTCCGCACCTGGGATCCAGACCTGCGAACCCTGGGCAGCCAAAGCAGAGTGCATAAACCTAAGCACTATGCCACCAGGCTGGCCCCTTAAATAATTATTTTTAAATGGTATAACCTGAACATTTGGTAAGTAGAAAACTCAAAAAGTACAAAAGGTACAGTGAAAAGTAAGTTTCCCTTTCTCCTCAAACCCCAGCCACTTTCAGTACATTTTGGATGGACGGATGACTGGTTGATAGTGATGGGGGCAGGGAGGGAGAATGGTAAACATCAGATTTATGAAGCTGTAGCTCCAAGTAAGTAATATATGCTTAAAAGAAAATGCCACAGTTATTTTTAAACACATAACTCAGGAGAGGAAGTATTGAAATACAAAACAGATTTTTTAAGGCTGTGGTGAATCCTATCCAAGATAAAGAGAGATAAATATACAAAGGAAATGGGATGGGTCATCTGAATAAAGTTTATTTGGGATTCCACATTTCTCTCTCTTTTTTCTCCTTCTCTCCTCCCCCCTCACCATCTTAGAAATCAAAATTAATTCTATCCCCAAAGACTAAATTGCAAGCTTCAGGGCCCTAGCTATGGGAAGGCCTTCCCAGTCCTGGCTGCAGGGTGCACAGGAAAAGGAACCCTGAGAAGGTTATTCCAACATCCCTTTGGGACACCCCCTACAGTGCTCAATTTTAAATACTTCGGACACAAATGTTCTTTAAAGAACAAAATGAAACTGTGTCCTTGTGCCCATCAGGGGGCAGCAGCCACCCACAGTATGGAGGAGTTCTGTGCCCCTAGGGGAGGATAGTAGCTGACTCTTTCTACATTTCCCAAGTTTCAGACCTGGCTCCCCATCTCAGTCTCCCAGCCTCAGTGTCAGCCCCAGCGCCTCCTATCTATTCATGTCAGGGAAGTCACGTGGTTCTTCAATCAGGAATATCTGCTCATCCATCTACCCAGGACACACGCAGCGTTCTTTATTAAATAGCAGGAGTTGTGGTACACTGCGCCACACCAGCAACATGGCTTCCAGGGGAAATAAACTGCTGGCCTCTCCCTCATCCATCACTGTGCAGGAGCCTGGAAAGGAAGTAAGAGAGGCCTGGGCTGTGCTCAGCCGGTCTCTCCCAGGCCCCATCCCCCTGGCTCCACTCCCCCTTGCAAGCCAAACCTTCTTATAATACTGCATACATCTTGTTCTTAGCACTCTTCACAACTGTAATTAGTTCCCTATGCTATTGTAATTATTTATGTGATTAGTTGTTTAATGTCTGCCTTCCCCCAAAAGACTTGCAACTTCATAAGTTCAGGACCAGTATCTGCCTCATTCACCCTTCTATCCCCAGCACCTAGCATATTGTAAGCCTTCAAGAAAATGTTTTAAAGAGATTGAATTAATGAAGGTGAATTTGTCTCTCAGTTGCCTGCACTACTAAGAATTGGAACCGAAGGGTAGATCAGGATCTACCTGGACTCCTCTGGGAAACCTGCTTTGGGTAACAGCTGAGGCATGAGACAAAAGGGTAGGATTGTCTCACCCAATCTCGGCCTCTTTGTTAAGTCAAAGGGCCGAGGTAATTCTTGATGAGGAAAATCAAAGAAGTGTTGGAGCTGGTGACCCCTGAGCTGTATTCCCCCGCCCCCTCGCCATCTCACCAGCCCCATTCAGAGCTTCCAGGCAGAAAGGGAGTGTGTGTGGCGGTCGGCGGGCGGGGGATGACTGGGGTCATGTGGGGCTTGGACTACCTTGTCAGGAGGTGTGTGCGTGAATCCAAGGACTCTTGATGGAGAGAGTGAATGAGCCAGAGCAGCTGGCAAGGATTAGGGTGAGGAAGAGACAGCAGAGAGGAGTTGAGTGTGAGCAGAGGCAGATGAGAGGCAGATGGAAGAGTAAGTGGGGAAGAAAGGGAGCAATTTCTCTGAGCCGCAAGCACTCCGTCCATGACACAAAGCAGCTCTGATGCTGGACCGCTACAGCCACTACGACACCGGTGAGAAATGCCTGTAATTAGGAGGCTGGCAGTTCTCTGGGCGTCAGCCCAGAGTGACGATGCAGAAAGAATTTCTGAGCTAAGCTGAGCCAGGTGATGGAGGAGACACGATCAGAACCACTCCAGTCCCATCCCTCAGCTGTGCCTGTACCACCCTCTTCTCATTCCTCTTCCTCACCATGACCCTCACTCTCCCCCAAACCTCACTGACTACCCTTCTCCTTCTGAGGTCCCAGGCTCTGGACTCTCCACTCAGCCAAGACAAATCGTCACGCACAAGGAGAGCAGTGCTATAATTCTCCCACTAGTGCATTGGACCTGGTCTAGCCAAAGGTCCCACCCCCTCCCAACCTAGCTGCCTGCCTCCCCCTTGGCTCCCTCGCCTCCCTTCTCAAATCCCCTTGAGCTGATAGACAGAGTTGGAAGAAAAACCACTCCTTTCCTGTTTTTCCACTTCAAGCCTAGTACGTGTGCCCCTGTAGGTCTCCCTGTGATGTGCAAGACATCTGCCAAAACACTGCTTGATTTTCGTTTTCAAACCTAATCTACAACCCTCTTTTGGTGCCACTCTGAATTTACAGCATTTTAGCCAAATGACAAATGCACACTACAGAGCTCAGAGCCAAACGCTCCAGACAAGGGAGGGATTACACAGTGGCTGACGGCCGGATGTGTTTATGGGTTTCTGCACTGTGAGTTCTGCTTTGGTAGGTAGGATGGGGCTGGGGTTTGGGGAAAGACAGGCTTTCTCCAAGGAGGATCTGTACTGATGGGAAATGTGTGTTCTGCAGGGGAAAGGAGAGTTGTAAGTCTAACCTTGAAGAGGCTCTGTTGGTGGACAAGTCTAACCTTGAAGAGGCTCTGTTGGTGGACGGAGAAGGTGGTTTCCTCTGTGAATCCCAAACCGTGGGAACGTGGCAGGAGTATTGCTGGGGCTCCCAGCTCAAGGTGATCAAGCCCTTGACATGTGTATCAACATCTCCAGGAAGAACTTTACCACTAACTAGTCCCTAGGCTGCTGAAGGGAGGTTCCTACAAACACAGGCATTTCCACCAACGACTGCAGAGTTTCTGTTTCACCTCTCAGGGCCATGTTTCATCTCTGAAAAGCCACTTACCAGAGAGTCAGAAGGGCCTTCAAGGGGCTGCTTCCAGGACCCTCACTCATCCCAGCCACTGGACAAGCCTCCTTGCAGTCAGGACAGAAGGTCACTGGGGTCTGAGATGTACCCACCCCACCCAAACACGGCTTCTCTTCCAGTTATGGCAGAACCACTGGTGCTGTTGCCTTGTTGAGCTTTCCCAAGAAGGTCAAACCTTTCTCCTCTGAAAATATTTTATTGATAAATTAACTCTGAAAGCGCCTACCTCCCACCCAACTGCTGTGAAGTCTGCTAGATGGGCTATGGACCCTTCTACGGAAAGAGTCACAGGGAGGACAGGGACTCTCACTCACGCAGGGATGGGATTCCTGGGCATGGCAGAGGTGGGTATGGGGACTGAGGCCAGTCCCGAGGTCTTCTGAAGACAGCCCCTCTCACTCAGCACCAGAGTGGGGAGTGGTGGTCAGGAGTGGAGCACCTTGGAGCTTTATTGCTGGTGAATGCCAAGGAGAGTGGGACCCCGGCCAGCCTAGAATTGCAGCTGAAGGCATCAGCGCCCAGGGCTCCAGAAAAGGTGGCACTAATTCCCAATCAACAGAGCCTGGCTGCTGACCCACCCACCCAGGGGTCCCTGGATGGGGAAGGAAGCAGGGAGAAGTATCTGAGCCAGGCAGGATTGGGGAAGGGTTACAGTGTGCAGGTCTCGGGCGGAGCAGGCGCCAGAAGGGGGCGTATGGCCGGGACAGCGAGGGGGCCGCCTCTTCACAGGTCTATGGTGTCGCTCCCCATGCTCAGCTCGTCGATCTGTCGGCAGGCGTCCAGGAATTGCTCCTGCAGCAAGGCCTCTTCGGCCTGCAGCTCAGGAGCAGGCTCTGGGGAGTCGCGGGAGGGTGGGGATAGGGCCTGGTAGGATCCTGAGGCCGGGAGGCTAGGGCTGCTTCCTGAGGGCCTCGGGGGACTGAGGACGCAAACCAGCGGACAGCGTGGGGGCCTGTCCGGGCTGGAGCATAGCAGCATGGACGAGCTGTCCCGCGAGAGTCCACACAGCGAGCCGGATGAGGCGCTGCTGCCCGCGGGCCAGGCCCCGGGAGACGGCAGCTCCAGGGGAGCCGGGGAGCCAGGGGCCTCCTCAAACCTCCTACTGGGCCCGGGCCCTGTCTGCGCCCCCAGCGAGGTAGTGCGGTAGAGGCCGAGACCAGGCAGGGCTTCCCCGAAGGCAGGGCCCTGGAAAAGGCCGGGAGTAAGCAGAGCCTCGCTGCAGAGGGCCTCCTCGATGCTGCGCCGCAGGTTGATTGGGGATGGAGGGCGGAAGTCCACGGTGTAATCGCTGCAGGGGGAGGAGGCCGGGGAAGGGGCCGGGTTGGCGGCCGCGCCTTCGAAGCCCCGGCAGCCACCTCCCTGGAGTAGGAGGTCGGGGCCTGGCCCTGCCAGGGCGCACAGCTGCAGCAGCTCCGCGTCGCCACGCGCCATGGCGCTACCTAGGGGCTCCTTGTCCGGGGGCCCGGTGACCCAGCCTCCAGGCAGCAGCGGGGCCGCGTGGCCCGGGGACAGGCGGAAGAGCTTGGCCCAGCAGCGCAGCGGTACGCGGGGGCTGCAGAGCGCCGGGTAGAGGCCCAGCAGCGCCAACGGGAGCGCGACGCCCACCTCGCCCAGGCGCAGGCCCAGCTGGAAGGCCCACCAGGGCCAAGGACCCTCCAGGCCCGGCTGGCCGCCATAACCCAGGGCGTGCAGCACCTCGTAGCCTTGCAGGGCTCCGCTCAGCAGCCCAAAGGTGCCTGCCACCGGGGCCGTGCGCGCCGCGCGCCGCCAGGACTCCCGCGGGGCGAAGGGGCTGCGCGCCTGCGGGAGAGGGGTGGCGCCCTTGAAGCTGGACCCTCCCAGGGGCGCTCCGGCCCTCCGCCGCCGACCCCCCCAGCAGGAGAGCGCCAGCAGGAGCCCGGAAAGGAGGGCGGCGAGGAAAGCGTGCAGCCCTCGGGAGGCGAGCCGCAGAGGCCGCAGC